TGAGGTGTTGAACTGTGGAGGGGCACCGCACACGGCTAAGAGATTGTCTGTTGTGCTATTAGGGTGCCCCTGGCCACGTATATAAAGGAGGGAGGGAGAGAGGAGGCCGACCAGGAGGGGGGCGCCAAGGGAGGAGTCCTACTTGGACTCCTAGTCCAAGTAGGATTCGCCACCTTCCCTTTCCTTTCTTCCACTGGAGGGAAATGAAGGAGGGGAGAAGGAGAAGGAAGGAGGGGGTTGCGCCCCCACCCCTTTTCCAATTCGGTTTGGGCAGGGGGAGGCGTGCGCCACCTTGTGGCCCTTCTTCCCTTTCTCCACTAAAGCCCACTAAGGCCCATTAACTTCCCCGGGGGGTTCCGGTAACCTCCTGGTACTCCGAAAAAATGCCCGAACCACTCGGAACCATTCCGATGTCCAAATGCAACCTTCCAATATATGAATCTTTACCTCTTGACCATTTAGAGACTCCTTGTCATGTCCGTGATCTCATCAGGGACTCCGAACAAACTCTGGTCATCAAATCACATAACTCATAATACAAATCGTCATCGAACGTTAAGCGTGCGAACCCTACGGGTTTGAGAACTATGTAGACATGACCGAGACACATCTCTGGTCAATAACCAATAGCGGAACCTGGATGCTCATATTGGCTCCTACATATTCTACAAAGATCTTTATCGGTCAAACCGCATAACAACACACGTCATTCCCTTTGTCATCGGTATGTTACTTGCCCGAGATTCGATCGTCGGTATCATCATACCTAGTTCAATCTCGTTACCGGCATGTCTATTTACTCATTCCGTAATGCATCACCCCATAACTAACTCATTAGTCATATTGCTTGCAAGGCTTATAGTGATGTGCATTACCAAGAGGGCCCATAGATACCTCTCCGATACATGGAGTGACAAATCCTAATCTCGATCTATGCAAACTCAACAAACACCATCGGAGACACCTGTAGAGCATCTTTATAATCACTCAGTTACGTTGTGACGTTTGATAGCACACAAGGTGTTCCTCCTGTATTCGGGAGTTGCATAATCTCATAGTCAAAGGAACATGTATAAGTCATGAAAAAGGCAATAGCAATAAAACTAAACGATCATTATGCTAAGCTAACGGATGGGTCTTGTCCATCACATCATTCTCTAATGATGTGATCCCGTTGATCAAATGACAACACATGTCTATGGCCAGGAAACTTAACCATCTTTGATTAACGAGCTAGTCAAGTAGAGGCATACTGGGGACACTCTGTTTGTCTATGTATTCACACATGTACTAAGTTTCTGATTAATACAATTCTAGCATGAATAATAAACATTTATCATGATATAAGGAAATATAAATAACAACTTTATTGTTGCCTCTAGGGCATATTTCCTTCAAACCCGTCCATGCACGCGAGCGAACTCTCTCAGGACGGCCGACCAGCAACCGCTCCCACATCCAAATTAAAAGGGCCGAAACAAATCCACACATGCCGGAGGTCTCTTCGGTCCTCCGTGTTGCGTCGTCCAACTACAAATATGAAGTGATGATGAGCAGATAGCACAATCTAAAACAACATACATTGGTGGAAAAACGAGTATTGAGATTTTATCGTACTGAGCGGTATAGGTAAGCTAGGTCGGCGGACCCCCGGTTGTACCCCTCATCCCAGTCCTCCAGGAAGCCGAGATTTATCCATAGGGCGCAATTGTAACGCCTCGGACACACCCGCCGGTGGTCGTTACTCCTGGCGGGATCTAGACTGGCCCCACAAATCAATACTAGTCTTTTCTGCGCACTTTGTCCTCACTCGTGCGCACTCAGGAGCAACTTCCCGGTCGGTCACCCATCCTGAAACTACTTCAAGCTAACCACGCTTAACTTTGGAGTTCTGTTCGTATGGGCTCCCGGAAAATAAGGAATTCCTTATTGATATGAGTAGTCTATCATCCCTAATAAGCCAGGCTATCACATACACCCCCACTTAGAGGAACTGACGTCCTCGTCGGGCCACAGGAACATTCCCTCTTGGCACATATGTTTGTGCATCCAGTCCGGCACATGTGCCATGCTGTGTGCCACGACATGTCACAAACATCATGCACAACATGACCACGCACCTATCCACAAACATCTGTGTAACCGCAAGGGTCGGCTCTGATACCAACTTGTAACACCCTGGACACACCCGTCGGGGGTCGTTACTCACTAGTCTTTTCTGCCCACTTTGTCCTCACTCGTGCGCACCCAGGAGCAGCTTCTCGGTCGGTCACCCATCTTAAAACTACTTCAAGCTAAGCACGCTTAACTTTGGAGTTCTGTTCGAATGGGCTCCCGGAAAAGAAGGAAGTCCTTATTGATATGAGTAGTCTATCATCCCTAATAAGCCACCCTATCACATACACCCCCACTCAGAGGAACCGACGTCCTCGTCGGGCCACAGGAACATTCCCTCTTGGCACATACGTTTGTGCATCCAATCCAGCACATGTGCCATGCCGTGTGCCACGATGGGTCACAAACGTCATGCACAACATGACCACGCACCTATCTGCAAATATCTGTGTAACCGCGAGGGTCGGCTCTGATACCAACTTGTAATGCCCCGGACACACCCGCTGGTGGTCATTACTCCTGGCGGGATCTAGACTAGCCCCACAAATCAATACTAGTCTTTTCTGCGCATTTTGTCCTCACTCGTGCGCACCCGGGAGCAACTTCCCGATCGGTCACCCATCCTGAAACTACTCCAAGCTAAGCACGCTTAACTTTGGAGTTCTGTTCGAATGGGCTCCCGAAAAAGAAGGAATTCCTTATTGATATGAGTAGTCTATCATCCCTAATAAGCTAGGCTATCACATCAATCCCCCGAGCAGTCTGGAAAGACGACCTCCGTCAGAAGGTACCACAAATAGGCCCTCGGGTACTGCTCCACGGTCCGCTCATCGGCATCTTGCGGGCATACGGTCCGGTTCTCCAGGAGTCACTTGAGCCACACACCGGATGTTCTGTTCCCCTTCATGGGAGAGCAGTCGCCGATCAGGGCGATCACCCTCTGCTGCCAGTTGGCCCTCTCCACTCGCCCAGTCCGAGCATGGCCCTGGATGGGCAGGGTCGTGATCATGCCGAAGTCCTGGAGGAGTCACTATCATCTCACCTCAGGTGAGATGGAAACTATGCGTCTCGGGGCGCCACCGGTCGATCAATGCCGTAAGAGCTGATTGGACGAGCACCGACGTCTGTCTTTTGAACTGAAGAATGATACCCAACATCCGTGCTCTCCTGAAGTACGGAGTGTAGCGCTCGTCGTACTGCATCTGCACGGCCTTTGTGTGGCCCCTCATCTGCAATAGGGGAGCATTTGTCAAAGTGTAAACGGAATTGTTAGTAACTAATTTTGTCATAATAAACAATACAGCAAATTGACGATAGACATTACCATTCCGTTCTCCATAAAACGGACGCGGTGACCATTGTCGAAAGCATGATCAAGCATGGTGTACTTCACGCCGATTTCTGGCGCAGGGGGGGGGGCGCCGATAACAATTGGAAATGATGTCATTTTCAACCAACTTGTATCCTTTTGAACAAACATGAACATATCAAAGTCCAAATATAAATGAATCATATTCAACCAACATTCATTATTTATCATATGTTCAACCAATATAAATGATCAATGTAAATGAATCATATTCAACCAACATAATTCATTCAACAACATTCCACCATCACTCATGCACTTGTTTATTCAATATTTATAAGAAAATTGCATATACACTATTCACCAAAATCCATCATATGACCATTTGTTCAAAAAAATGCATATACATAATTCAATCATATGTAGGCAACTACTTACAATCCCTCCAACATCAATCATATGACCATTTGTTCAAAAATAATTTTAATCTCCAACTACCTTCGTGATGAACTAGGGTTCATATCAAAACTACATATAATTTCCACAACTAGTTATTAGAGTTCATATTCAACCATATACATCATATAGAATCAACCTAAGCAATCCTAGGATAGACACAAAGTAAGAAAATAGGGTTTATTTGCACCAAATAATGCATCGAATCGAAAGCGTTTCGAGTAGAACTAATTGGAGGGATTGAGAGAGCTTACTTTTCCCGTTTCGGAGCCATCTCGATCCGCAAAAATGGTGGCAAAACAAAGAAGATCGGAGGGGGGGAGTGGAGGGGACTAGAGAGAGCTTGTGCTCTCTGTTCTTGCGGCGTCGCGCGGCTGAGGAGAAGAAGATGGGGGCTGGTTGGTGGGCGGGCCCCACGAGCCGGCCTCGCGGGCTTATAAGGTTTCAGCACCTACCGCCAGAGTCTACAGCGGTAGGGTTACATAGCCTACCGCCATGGGCTCTGGTGGTAGGGGGGGGGGGCAGGATACTGTTCCGTCTACTTGAGGCTGACGTGGATGAGTGGGCTACCGCCGCTCTCTCCCTGTGGTGGTAGCCTGCATTTGCCTATCGCCTTGATCATTGGCGGTAGATAAAAGGGTCAAATTCCAAAAGATTTCGAATATGGGTCAGATCTCGCTTATTTTTGACAAAAAGGTCAAAACACGAAATTTGGCCACAAAGCGTAGGCACTGAACTGCAAAAGCGAGATCTAATAAGCGGAAAGAAAAAGAAAAAAGGCAGACGACCGAGACCACGACCCCACGCGTCGCCCGGCAGCTTCGTGGCACGCGCCGGCCTGACTTGCATTGACTGATGTTTCCCGTTATACCCCTGCGCACACCGCCGGCTTTACCCGCTCCAACTCCTTATCCACGAAACCGTCAGGGGGTAGAATTGGAACTGCCCGCCCCGGCTCTCGCGCTCACGAACCCCACGACTCCCCTCCTAGTATAAACCGCTCCAACGGGGAACTGCCATTCCTCTGCTTCGAGCCGAAGCATCAGAGAAAATTTTGATCCAAAACTTTCCTTAGCCATTTGATCTAGAGACTGTCTCGCCGTTAGGGTTTAGCGTGGGGATGGATTACGAGCAAGGCGGCGGCGCTGGCCGCGGCCGCGGGAGATCTCGCGGCGGCGTCGGCGGGCGTGGCGGGGCGCCCGGTGGGTACGGGCCTCAAGGAGGCGGCGGAGGCTACGGAGGAGGCGGTCAAGGCCGGGGCGCTCAGGGAAGCGGTGGAGGATACGGAGGAGGCGGAGGCTACGCGCCCCAAGGGGGCATGGAGGGCCGCGGGGGCGGCTACGCGCCTCGCGGCGGAGGGTACGCTCCTCGCGGGGGCGGCGAGGGCCGCGGACGAGGCTATGGTCCTCAGGGAGGCGGCGAGGGCCGCGGAGGCGACTACGGCGGAGGCGGGCCGGGAGGGCGTGGTCCTGGCGGCGGTGGGCGTGGGTACGGCCCCGGCGGTGGGCGTGGTGGGAACGCGTGGGCGCAGCCTGGGAGAGGGCCCGCCGGAGGACCCGGGGAATACGTTCCGGTGAGGGCGCCGGCGCCAGCGTCTGCGGCGAGGAGGGTTGAGTCCGAGGAGGCGGGGCGCTCATCTGGATCCGTCGGTAAGCACTTCCCCTGTCCTGCTTAACTTAGCATACTCTGTTCCTAAGCAATGTTCAATACCTTGACGGTTTGTCAAGTAATCTAGGGATTTGTGACGGTGAATTGAGTCTATACGGTATGGTTCCACTTGTTTGTGCGATTGATCAAGGCGTTCCTTATCGCCTCTGTGTCGATGGTATAGCAGGGAACTTCTCATCGTTGACTAGAATGATGGGGGTGCGATCTATTTTGTTCGGCCCTTGCAGATTTGTGCACTATTCTTCGTCCTTGAGATGCTAGATTAATTTTCGTACCATCGTAGCATTGTGTGATTATATCGTAATATCATCTTCCTCGAGTTAGCTTAGGTTTCATATAATTTTGAGTTCGGTATGGATTGAACAAATAATTATAGATGAGATCTATCTGTATGATAATCTCCACTAGATCTTGGCTCATACTCCTACCTGTTAGTGATTATATCAAGTTTGTATCTGGAGGAAGCATTTAATTTTAGGATGATTAGATTGTTACTATCGTGTTATGCAAAACAAGCGAGAGGAATTTGTGGCAATGCCTTGTTTAGGCACACACATAAATTACTAATTTTGAATCATTTGCAATTTTTATTCCACTGTTTCCACATGAGAGTTATTTGTTTCAGAGGATACAGAGCACTTGTGAAAAGGGGAAAACTAGGATTTCAGGTAGCCTTATTTTGTTTGCCAGCTTGCAGTTTGAGAAGATTCAGACACTGTTTAATTTTACCCAAATTTCTGAATGATTAGCAATTTTTCCTATGTTGACTTGGGAAAAAATCATATTAGAACATAAGCTGGAAAGAAAAAAATATATTTTTGTTGAGTATTTGGCTCGTGCAAATTTACCTTGTTTCTAATTCTAACTGATCTTCCTTTTTCACTAGAACGCATCAGCTCCAAAGAAGTGGCAAAATTAGAACCACTAGCGCCCCCAGTTGCTGTGTCTCCCAATGGCATACGTGTGCCAATGCAAAGACCTGATGGTGGTGGAACATTATGTCAAGCCAGGGTCCAGCTTTTGGTAAACCACTTCATAGTCAAGTACCCAAAGCTGTCAACCTTTTTCCACTATGACATAGATATCAAGTTTGATCCAGCGTCTTCAAAGGTTTCTGGCAAGGAGCTCTCCAATGCAGATTTTCTTTCTGCAAAGGCCGAGCTTTTCAAGGATGACAGCTTTCGGCAGCTTTCATCGGCTGTTGCTTATGATGGAAAGAGAAACCTATTTACTGTTGCACAACTGCCAGAAGGTTTATTCCGTGTCAGAGTTAGTTCAAAGACCTACATTGTATCAGTAGAGTTCAAGAAGCAGCTTCCTCTAAGCCAACTCTCGGAGCTGCCTGTGGCTAGGGAGATCTTACAGGGTCTTGATGTCATTGTGCGTGAGGCTTCTAGCTGGAGCAAGATTATACTTGGTCATGGATTTTACTCACCACAAAGCAAAGTGGATATGGGGTCAGGTGTTGTATCTATGAAAGGAACCCAGCAGACCCTTAAACACACTCAGCAGGGACTGGTCCTATGTGTCGACTATTCAGTTATGCCATTTCGCAGAGATGGACCTGTTCTGGATATCGTGCGGCAGTTTATAAAGCCCCTTCCCCTCGACTACAGGACAGCACTGAACAAGACTCATCGGGAAAAGTTGGTGTATGAGCTCAAAGGCCAGCGTGTTAATGTGTCCCACCGGAAGACTAAGCAGAAGTACACTATTCAAGGCTTCACTGATTTGCCAGCCAGCCAGATCACCTTTTTAGATTCGGAATCAGGGCAGTCAAGGAAACTTGTTGACTATTTTGCTCAGCAGTATGGCAAGGTGATTGAGTATCAGATGCTTCCATGCCTGGATTTGAGCAAGAGCAAAGACAAACCAAATTATGTGCCCATTGAGCTTTGTAAGCTTATTGAAGGACAGAGGTATCCAATGGCAAATTTGAATAAGGACACTGATAGAGCACTGAAAGGCAAGGCTTTAATTAAGGCAGCTGAGCGGAAGTGGGAGATTGAGACTGCGGTCAAAGCTGAAGATGGGCCTTGCAGGTAACTATTTGAGTTTGAATCAATTTATATGGTTTGCAAATGTATAACCATCTGTTAGTATTTTGGTCATAGGAAACTACTCTCTCCGTCCCATAATATAAGAGCGTTTTTTACACTAGTGTAGTGTCAAAAATGTATAACCATCTGTTAGTATTTTGGTCATAGGAAACTGACATGTTGCAGTATTTAACTGGTACAATGATAAGTTGATGCTCTTTTTTACAAAAGTACCTCTACCACATTACTCCCTCCGTTCCATAATATTTGAACTAAAACCACGACAAGTATTATGGAACAGAGTACTTAATACGGATGCTATTACATTCTTGGTAGAGAAAGTAGATTGTAACCATGTAATCAGTATATATTTGCCAACTCATGTTCTCATTTGCTTGTTTGTGTTCCTGATATTTAAGCCCTTCTCTGTCTTATTTCTTTTGCAAAGGGACAATATGAACTCAGTAACAGATCTTTATCTTTTTTGTGGAAAAATGAAAAAAAATGTTTGTATCAGGTACTAATCACCATTTTATTTCCAGGGGAGAAATAGCTCAACAGTTTGGGATTTCTTTGGATGTGAAGATGATGGAAGTCACTGGCAGGGTCCTTTCTCCTCCCATGCTGACACTCGGCTCCTCCAGAGGAGCCCCTGGCAATTTAAGTATCACTCCATCTAATTGCCAGTGGAACCTCATGGGGAAGAAGCTGGTAGAAGGCAAAGCACTTCAGTGCTGGGGCATTGTGGACTTCAGTGCACGGCCATCTCACAACAAGCAGCAAGCGCTTGATGGGAACATGTTTATTAACTATATCGTCAGGAAGTGCTGTGACCTTGGCATTCAGATGAACAAGACAGCATGTTTTGTGCATCTATCGACAATGTCAGTGCTATCAGATCCACACCAACTGTACGAGGAGCTGAACAAAGCCAAGCAGGCTGCGGTGAAGAAGAACCAGAAGCTGCAGCTCCTCTTCTGCCCGATGTCTGAACAGCATCCTGGGTACAAGACACTGAAGCTGATCTGCGAGACGCAGCTGGGGATCCAAACCCAGTGTTTCTTGAGCCACCTCGCAAACAAAACCCAGGGCCAGGACCAGTACATGTCCAACCTTGCTCTCAAGATCAACAGCAAGCTTGGGGGCATCAACGTCCAGCTCCAGGACAAGCTCCCACTGGACAACGGTGTTCCTTACATGTTCATCGGCGCGGACGTGAACCACCCGTCACCCGGGAATGTGGAAAGCCCGTCGATAGCAGCTGTGGTTGCGTCCATGAATAGGGGCGCCACCAAGTACGTGCCTAGAATCCGCGCCCAGCCACACCGCTGTGAGGTGATCAAGAACCTCGGCGAGATTGTCCAAGAACTCATCGGTGTCTTTGAGAAGAAGGCCGGCGTAAAGCCTCAGAAGATCATTTACTTCCGTGATGGCGTGAGTGATGGGCAGTTCGAGATGGTCCTTAACGAGGAGCTTGCAGACATGGAGAAGGTGATCAAGGTGAAGGGCTACTCGCCGACGATCACCGTGATTGTGGCCAAGAAGCGGCACCACACGCGGCTGTTCCCCAAGGAGCACAACGAGCCGCTGCAGACGAAGAACGGCAATGTGCTCCCTGGCACGGTGGTGGACACCAGAATTGTCGACCCTGTGACGTACGACTTCTACCTGTGCAGCCACAATGGGCTGATAGGGACCAGCCGGCCGACGCACTACTACAACCTGATGGACGAACACGGCTACGGGTCGGACGACTTGCAGAGGCTGGTGTACAACCTCTGCTTCGTGTTCGCGCGCTGCACCAAGCCCGTATCACTGGCGACGCCCGTCTACTACGCTGACCTGGCGGCATACCGTGGCAGGCTCTACTATGAGGGCATGCTGGCGTCCCAGCCCCAGGTGCGCAGCTCGTCGTCCTCGGCCTCCTCCGCAGCGGCGGGTGCTTCTGACTTCAGCAACTTCCCGATGCTGCACGTGGATCTTCAGGACAACATGTTCTTCATCTGACGCTGGCGTTTCACCCGGTGTTGCTTAGGGTCTTGGTCGGGTAGAAACATATATACAAACTATTTCGTATTGTCTGAACTTGGTCCGGTAGAACATATACCCCAAACTGCTTGGTATGGTCTGAACTTTGAACTTGAAATGTGTTGCTAGTTGTGTCATTGTCCGTGTGCTTTAGGTCTGTGTTTTTAACTATAGCTGTGTTGGTTGCCTGACTTTGGTGGCTTGACTGTATCTTCGGAGATTCTGATGATGAAATTCCATGAAGTTGTAACAACTTTCGATTCATTTCATCATCTCATAAATCTGAACGGTGGGAATTTGCTTGTCACTTGATATGGATGGTGTAATTATTTGCTCCATCAGGGACAAGTAGCTTCAGACAAAGAATGCTTTTAAAACTGTTCTTGTCATGAACAGATTGCAGCAGTTAGCGCCGAACAAGTCTCTTCTCTATCACAGATTCACAAGAGCATACACAGAAAGTAGAGGCCGGCACAACAAATTCAAACACAGAGAGCACCGATTCTCTTCTCCTCAATTCAGCAATAACAAGTCATGTCTATATAAATAATTGTGCGCCAAAAGTGTCTATAAATAAGCTCTAAATAAACATCTCAAAAGAAAAAGAAAACTCTAAAATAGAGTTCCAATCGGCTAGGGAGACAATACATTTGGTACGGAGCCCATCCTTTGTTGGCGAGGAAGGAAGCTCCAGAGGCAAGCGTGTCCTGATCCTGGAAGCAGCCTCCCTCATTGGTGCAGAAGCAAACGATTACCAGTGCCTGCACACGACCATCACTGGTTTAAAGTGCCATCCGGGATTCAGAGCATAGGTCGACTCAAAATTCCAAGGACCAAAGGCCATGCGGGCGGCCCCAGGATTTCAAGAGTGTGTATTCAAAATTTCAAAGGCAGTTTTTTTGGAAGTCTAAATCCTTGTTTTGGCATATATGACGGATTCTAGTACCAGTTTACAAAAATTGGGTAATACCTATGGATATCGCAGAATATAATATATTCATAGAATTGATCATAATTTCAAATTTCCATCTTATAGAAAATCAATAACAGGTCGCAACATAATTGATCATAATTGTTCAAAGATCGAAGTCGCAACATCTAAGATATATAGAGATGGAAAGTAAATAATGATAAAAAAGCTGATGAATCACAGGATGACAATCCTATCCTTGATGCTTTAAAAATGAGTTTAGTTTAACTAAGAATCTGCATGTTTAACACTGAAGGAATGTTAGTTTGCTAGTCTGTTAGAGGGTATTCTCTTCAATGAACTATTTAGAAACAAGCTGAGAAGCATGAGATAGAGAGAGAAATCAATAACCAAAATCTAATTAGCAAGGTGAATACATCTAATTTCAATGAACAGATCATATGTACTGCTATGTGAGCCTAGGGATTTAAAATTCAAGACCGATGTGTGCAAAGATCAGTACAATTTGGGAACTATTTAGTTTAACTAAGAATCACAGGATGACAATCCTATCCTTGATGCTTTAAAAATGAGTTTAGTTTAACTAAGAATCTGCATGTTTAACACTAAAGGAATGTTAGTTTGCTAGTCTGTTAGAGGGTATTCTCTTCAATGAACTATTTAGAAACAAGCTGAGAAGCATGAGATACAGAGAGAAATCAATAACCAAAATCTAATTAGCAAGGTGAATACATCTAATTTCAATGAACAGATCATATGTACTGCTATGTGAGCCTAGGGATTTAAAATTCAAGACCGATGTGTGCAAAGATCAGTACAATTTGGGAACAGGGAAGGTAAATCTAATTTCAATGAACAGATCATATGTACTGCTATGTGAGCCTAGGGATTTAAAATTCAAGACCGATGTGTGCAAAGATCAGTACAATTTGGGAGCAGGGAAGGTAAATCTAATTTCAATGAACAGATCATATGTACTGCTATGTGAGCCTAGGGATTTAAAATTCAAGACCGATGTGTGCAAAGATCAGTACAATTTGGGAACTATTTAGTTTAACTAAGAATCACAGGATGACAATCCTATCCTTGATGCTTTAAAAATGAGTTTAGTTTAACTAAGAATCTGCATGTTTAACACTGAAGGAATGTTAGTTTGCTAGTCTGTTAGAGGATATTCTCTTCAATGAACTATTTAGAAACAAGCTGAGAAGCATGAGATACAGAGAGAAATCAATAACCAAAATCTAATTAGCAAGGTGAATACATCTAATTTCAATGAACATATCATATGTACTGATATGTGAGCCTAGGGATTTAAAATTCAAGACCGATGTGTGCAAAGATCAATACAATTTGGGAACAGGGAAGGTAATTGAACCAGCGATAGATGTATGGACGGTGGTTCGAACGCGCGACCTGTTCTCTACGAGGGCTACGTTGGTACCATCGGGCCATCGCTCTGCTCATGACAAGGTGAATACATCTAATTTCAATGAACAGATCATATGTACTGATATGTGAGCCTAGGGATTTAAAATTCAAGACCGATGTGTGCAAAGATCAATACAATTTGGGAACAGGGAAGGTAATTGAACCAGCGATAGATGTATGGACGGTGGTTCGAACGCGCGACCTGTTCTCTACGAGGGCTACGTTGGTACCATCGGGCCATCGCTCTGCTCATGACAAAGTACTTCAAGCCTTTCTTTTATCAGTTCTTCAGTTCGTTTTGTTTTTTTATCCTATTCCGTTCTTTCTTTTTTGTTTTTTAATGCGTGTTTATTTTTCAAATTTCGTGAACCTTTCCTCTAAATTTACGAAAATATAAAAAAATCGATGAACTTTTTTTCAAATTTGATGAACTTTTTCTAAATTCAATGAATTTTTTTCCAAAATCGATGAAATTTTTAAAAAATTTGATGAACTTTTTTGAAATTGGATGAACTTTTTTCAAATTCCGTGAACTTTTTTTTCGAAATCTATGAACTCTTTTAGATTTTGATGATTTTTTTTCAAATTCGATGAATGTTTTTCAAGTTCAATGAACTTTTTTTCGTAATTGGTGATTTTTTTTCCAAAATTGATGAACTTTATTTAAATTTTGTGAACTTTTCCCAATTTTTTGAAGTTTTTTTAATTCTGGAACGAAACGACCAAGCCAAGAAAATAATCGCGATGAGCTATCTGACTTCGACCTAGCGATCTTTGAGCTTAATGGGCCGGCCCAGCTTGCAGTGCCCGTGAGCGGCAGTGGGCGAACTGGCGCCTGCAGCGCCAATTAGGAGCTCCCTGGATGCATAGCGTGCGCGCACGGTGCAACCTGAAGCAGTTTGGGCCTATGGGCCATGGGGTGGGTAGTGAGCGAGAATTGCAAGCTGGGCTAGCCTCTATTTTTGGCCTGAATTGGTTAGCTAGCACGTTTATTGCATCAGTTTCATTTTTTTCTTGTACATACACATGATATACAGTATATATATCTAGTTTTTTGGCGAAAATAATGGGTATTCAACTGAATACCCTTGAATTGAGGTGGGCCCAATTGGGCCTATGGGCCATGGGGTGGGTAGTGAGGGAGAATTGCAAGCTGGGCTAGCCTCTGTTTTTGGGCTGAATTGGTTTTTTTTTTGACGAAAGGGCTGAATTGGTTAGCTAGCACGTTTAGTGCATCAGTTTCATTTTTTCTTGTACATACACATGATATACAGTATATATATCTAGTTTTTTGGTGAAAATAATGGGTATTCAACTGAATACCCTTGAATTGAGGTGGGCCCGCCCCTGCATGCAGGAAGGTGTTGCACTACGCCCACTGTTTCTGTCTGCACTTGTTTTCTAAACTTAACAGCAGTCTGCACCAGTTTGACGGTACGAGTCTTACAAGTTTACCTGCTTATGCTTCTGACGAGCATCACAGAACTTTCAGCGGGCCTTGTGAGGCCAACTCCAGCGCACAACTCCAAACGGACGTCTGTTTAGCCTAAATTCTGTCTGTTCGAGTAGGGCAATAGGGTCGTGTCCGGGCCTGTCCTGGGATGGGGTAGCCGTGTTGGCCCCATCCTGTCCGCTGCGGCCAAAAATGCCCATTTATTCATATTTCAATGTTCAAAACTACTTCCTTCATACCTAAATATTTGTCTTTTTAGAGATTTCAAATGGACTACCACATATGATGTATATAGACATATTTTAGAGTGTAGATTCACTCATTTTTCTCCGTATGTAGTCACTTGTTGAAATCCCTAGAAAGACAAATATTTAGGAACGGATGGAGTAGTTTGCATGTTCAAATATTAATTGTCTGGAAATAAAAATAATTTTACAGCCCAATCGAAATTGTCTCTGATAAAATAGTTTTACAACCAAATCTAAATTGTCTTTAATGAACATAATGGACCAATACATTTATTGGTTGTCAACGTGAGCCTACATGTGCTCAACCAAGTCATTTTGAAGGTCCAAATGAGTGTGTCAATCACGCATTTCACGATTAAATTGGGCAAACTGCTCAAACTTGGCCGGTTCTTGGTGCAGGGGCTCAACATTTTCACCTTGAAATCAAATCCTTGGTCGAAGATGTTGTTATCATGCTCATCCTCGACGAGCATGTTGTGCATGGTCACACAAGCACTCATCACCTCCCAAAACTTCCCTTCATCCCATGTCAGTGCAGGGTTTTGAATGATACCCCATCGGAATTGAAGCACACCAAAAGCACGTTCCACATTCTTTCTAGCACTCTCTTGTATTTGGGCAAATCTCTGTCTCTTCTCACCTTAGGGTTCGAGATTGTCTTCACAAAAGTTGACCACTGAGGATGTATACCATCAGCTAGGTAGTATCCCTTGTTGTACTGGTGGCCATTGATCTCAAAGTTGACAGGTGGGGAGTGACCTTCTGCAAGCCTTGCGAATACCGAAGAACGCTGCAGCACGTTGATATCATTGTGAGAACCTGCCATGCTGAAGGAAGAGTGCCATATGCAAAGATCTTGCGAAGCCACAGCTTCTAATATGACAGTGCATGCTTTAACATGCCCCTACGAAAGCAC